ACACACACACACACAAACACAGACACAGGCGACCTTTAATAATATGCGTTCTTGCTCATTATTTAGCAGCGTTATAGCGCTACACAACAAAAACGCATAATAACGAAGTTAGCCAGTGATCAAACTAAATAAGCTTCATAAACGCAAAAGTCCTCTCAGAGACGCGCAATTCGACAAGAACACTTCACAGTTAGGTGCTGGTTGCAAAGGTCTGGATAGCGTCAAAGCATATCGAAGTATAAATCCCTGTAACGTCCTGGAAAGGGTTTTTTGCTTTCCAGCAGACTCAAAAAAGCCACAATAATAAAAGCTACTTGCATAAACTTTAAAAGCAAATCTCACAGTGTCTTGGCTTTGCGATGACGTGATCACTTGGATTTGACGGTTCACCGTACCCCGCTTTATTTTTTGCAATTATACGGAATTGATATTCCTCTCCTTCCTTCAGATTGCCTACTCGAGCAGATGTCTCAGAACCCGGTACCTGGAATTCGAAGACAATGTTTTGAGTACAGCAGCTAAAACCATAGGAATTTAATTTTCGGGGTTTTCTGAGGCGATATTTCCAGTATATGAAAACTTTTTTTCATGAAATTTGACAGCTTTCTGTAAGACTACTTTTAACTTATACCCGCATCGTTTCAGTCCACTTTCCGTGTTTATCCTTCATCTCAACGACATACTCCTCAATTGGTGAGCCGCCATCATCAGGAGCTTTCCATTCCAAATCAACATGATCCTTGTCCCAGTCAACCACCTCTGGTTTATCAGTTTTCTTGGGTACATCATATGGATTTTTGGCCAAAAAGCCTTCTCCTTCCGTCGCTAGTGGATCTGATTCTCCTTCTTTGTTTACGGCTCGTACTCGGAACTGAAAGAGGCTTTCTTAACATACAAACAAGCAGAAAACTTTTATTATTTATACTGACAGTGATTTTTCAAAAATTTATTTTTTGTGACAAATCGTTTGTATCATCCACGTTGATGGGTGTCAAAGTAAGGTAAGTGTATATAAACGGGGAAAAACAGTAGGGGAAAAATAGTAGGAAAAACAGTTAAAACGTTTCGGTCCATTAAGTCATATACGTCTTAGCTCAACACCACGACTGAATCTCGTCAATATGACGGTCGTGGTGTTCAGGGATCAGGAGGAAAGGAATGAATGTAAGGGAGAGGAAAAAAAATGAAAAAAGAAGAAAGAAAGGTGGAAAAAGAAAGAGGGAAAAAGGAAAAAAAA